CAATGTTCGATTCTACTAAAAACCCAGTTTCCTAACATGTTTTTTCTATTCTTTTCAAAATATCATTTATTTAAAAATATTTTATGTTTGAATAAAAGTAATTTAAAAAATAATAAGTAATACGAATCTCCAACCTACATTACCACTCCAAGAAGGTATTATTAATGTGTTAGAAAATTTATAATGGAAAACATTCTAGCTTTTAAAGCTGAATGACTGTTCTCGATTGATGACAGAAAATATCTAAAATTTTTATAATCTTCCAAGTAACTCGGAGTCCAGCATCCTAATTTTTGCTATTGTTTCCTTTCAAAATACCAAATATTTTAAAATATTTGATTTTTTTTTTTGAATACTTTTATTGGACACTTTGATTCCATTTGCGATATTCTTAAGGGCCAGAAAATAATAGTTTATGTGATGTTATTATAAAATAACCTAAAATTTTGTTTACATTGAAAACATTTATGTATTAATGATAAAAATTTTGTTAAACCTTTTTTTAAAAAACCTTAAACTTTATTTATTTTAGTTAATAAATCTAATGAAATTGAAAAGTTCATTTGAACTTGAAAGAAAACACTTCCTCGCCAAGTAAATGAACTTCGGATGTATAGGAAAATAAGGAATAAGAAAGCAGTCAATATTTTTCCGCACAAATATGAATTCAACGCAACAAGTCAAGAATCCTTTTAAGCATTTCCATTATTATTAGTTACATTTGTAAACGAAACGTTGACCCTAGGCATGTGGATCCGTTTCCACATATTTGCACATGCATTATTGGTGTTTTATGTTTTTCTTCTTCCAACGAATTCGAATATAAAAAAGTTGAACTTTATTTTACAAATGTTAACCAAAGTTTTGATTACTTCATTGTGTCCACAAATTGCTGTGTATTTTTCCTTTAATTTAATTTTAGATGTGCAATGACTTCCTTCCAACGAGAAAAATTCCACTAATAAAAAGGATGAACTGACCCAGTTTGTGTGCGTACATTGCACTTCCATTTAATGTCATTCATAAAGTGTCACTAAGTGTGAAACTAGCCAATCTCATTCAAGTTAGGAAAGCAAATATTTTTGGTTGCAGCTATTAAAGTTAAGTATACTAACTTTTAATTAAAGGAAAACAAATTAACAATCAAGAGAAGAAAATATTGCAGTAACTTGATTGAAAAAGTGAGAAACCTAAACAGTTTATAGATTGATTGTGTAGGAAGTGTACCGTAGTTTTAAAATTTATTTTCAGGATTTTTTCTTCTTTGTATATGTAGTACGTCCTAGTGATATAAATAAAACAGTCAAAGTCATTTAATTATTATGTCTCAATTAACGAAGCAATGAAATGGAATTTTAACAGTTTAAATTCCACAACAATAAATTAAAATATTGCTTCTATAATGAAGAAAGTTTTTTAAGAAGCTTAATTAACTACTCTGTACTAATTGCAACTATTCTAGAAACTGATTTATATTCAGCGTGTTTTGCTTTTTCAAGATAAGTAGGCTTAAGTTTTCGATGTAGCCTGATAACACAAATACACAACAAACATTTACCACTCCAGCTGATTAAAATACTCAGAAACAATTACTACAAATTCGTAAACTTAAACCACTAAGCTTACAATTTCCTCCTAAATCTTACTCCATCTTCACAGCACACCTCCGTATAACGGAACCAAAAATAATATTCTTCCACGCAAAAGACACAAATTTGCAATTCAATTCAGAACCATATCGACCCTCCAGTCAACCGCTTTAGCAAATGGAAAATTTACCTAATTAGAAAAAAACAACAACGTTATGTATCACTTCACTTGGAACCAAAACTCAAGAAGTTTAACTATCAACACCCACATTGAGTGTAGTGTTTCAGTCTTATATTTCTACACATCAGAATGAAGATTGTAGATATATAAAGAAGATCCGAACAAAGTTCAAAGACCAAAGACTATAGCAAAAAAAATAAATATTTGTTTCTTAACACGTCATTAAGCCATCAGCACTATATAAATGTGTCGCTTTCCAAAACTACTCGATATGGAACTATGTGCAGTTCAAAATAGTTAGCTTATGAGGATATCAAAAATACTATTATATAGGACTGTTATATTCAATAGAAATTTCACCTTCTCCCAAATATACGAAACTCACCTTGTCAAGTAAAAAATCAACAATATCTTCTCGTTTTCACTCATAACGAAAACAAAAAAATCATCAAAACAAGCAACAACTTACAAAAAAGTGCAACTAAATAAAGCTAAGATTAACAGATAGCAATCAACAAACACACAATATAACTAAATCCCTTTAGTGTCCACCAGCATTCATAACTACCTGCATAAAGAAGAAACGACCAAACAAAAAATTACATCATTATCATATTCTGAACTATAAATCGAAACAACACTTTACATCTCAATTGTTTTTGATCAAACGTAGTTCAACACATTCATACCTTAAATATAATAAAAAAACACAACATGAATCCCAGCTAATTGCAGGTAACTTCTCTAAATACTCGAAACAAGAAATAAAAACGAAAAAAATCTTACGTTTTCAATGTAAGATTCTATTTTTGTCCAAAAACTTCGTTAAATAATACTATATTGTATAATATTTTAAATAATAATAGTATTAGTTGCAAAACTATCACTAATTATAAGTGCAGCAAAGAGTACAGATCTTAGAACGTCGAATGTATCAGATTTGAGCTTTTACTAATTGTCTACAAATCACACTAATACTACTATGGAAGACGTAACATATGTAGGTCTTTTCATATCATATTGTGGTATTTTGACAAATCCCACCATATAACAAATAAAGAGCATACAAAATGCATTATAATTGAAAAAAGAAAATAATAATTATCTAACTTCAAACACTCAAAGTTCGACTATAAATTGTTCTTTGGTCCATTTCCAGCATCTGCACATGTTGTGTAAATAAAAAACACCAGCTGCTGTCTTCTGACGTAAAAATTAATTCATTTTCACTCTTAAAGTGGCAAGTGCAAGTTGAGATGTTATAAATTTAGCCCCGAATTTAGATTCCATTTTGTGGGAATTGTGTTAAATTTATGAAGTTAAAGGCCTTTGAACTCCACACCATAATGCATGAAATACATAAAGTAAATTTAAATATCTATAAATAGAGAAACTTTTAAAGAGTTGGTGTTCTGGATACTATCATTTATTTAATTTCAGAAAATTTTAGACCCATTCAAAAAAATATAAAA